CACCGACAGAGCATACCAGTAATCTCCTTGGTCTTGAATAATCACGTTTCACTGAGCTCGTCGACTGTACGGACTGAAGAGAGCGGTGTGGTGACGTACAAACCAGTTGATGATATGAATACCCCAGAAGAAGCTTCGGGCTTATCAATGTGATCACAAATGGGGAAGTCTTCAACAGCTCGTAGATGCATATCTTGTCTTGGCTTTAGCAACCTGGCAGTATCCCAGCCCCACGAGCTCCCTTAGGATTGCATTGAACGTAGGCACAGAAAGGGCGCTACAAATGAACGATTTTTAACACTGATCTACTACGCATTCGCATGTGGGGAGAGGGTGCATGTACGCACCAGTACCTCATTAAATTCTTCCGGGAAAGACTCAAGTTAGCATTCCTGATCCGGTATTTGGACACCCACAGAAACCTTTTCCATGCATTTAGTCGAGGTGGAAGGATTTTCAAACGAGACTATGTGGACTTTAAAAAAAAACGTAAACCAACTTCCGAGTATTTTTCTTAACCGTTCACTCAAATATTGGTGAAAGGAAAACGGCCTTGGCTGCGGAGTTATTTATTGGAAAATGCCAACTGACCAGTTAGAGACTATTGGACAGGAAAGCAAAACTCTCATTTGCATCTTATTTACAAAAACTATACATCCCTCTTCTGCTGAACGCGTTCTGTTGAATTTTCCTGGACATCCATTGACTCAAATCCAAGCAAATGTTACAAAGCGCCTCCATCAATTCCGCAATAGATTTCCTTTTTTCAAGAAACGGAAAACGAAATTCCAAGAACAACACATACTACTTGCATTCCCCTCCATCAATAGCATCGCCGTTATACTGATATCCGGCATGTGCACAGTGTCTATATTCGATATTCTTGCAGTAAAGCTAAACCTGCATGGCGCCTCTCCAACGTTATGGAGGATTCGATTGTTCCGACCTCAGTCAGGTATGTGCTAGAGAAGCACAGGCCAAATTTGTCCGACCTAAACGTCCCTGACTGCGATAACAAAGAGATAACGACTAATCTGAAGAGAAAATTTTAGCGAATATACACTCCTTTACAAACAAATTTGGTTTTTCGAGACTCACCTGAAACCCAGCTGAATCTCTCGTTTGTGATGTTGACAGGCAACTGAGTGTGCTGCACCAGGCCGCCTCATGTTTCAGCCGGTACGATATTTGAGATATCGCGATTCATTTATATCTTCGAAATATACTACCCATAAGGTTGCTGAAAATCCGTCGACAGCCTACGACCGGTTTCGCCCTTTTTCAAGGGACGCGTTTTCAAAGGATTTTCAGTGGTCCGCAGTTCTCCTAAGCAACTGATAATAATTAAGTAAACGGGTTTTACGAATATACTATCCGTTGTAGCTGCTTTTGAGCTTGGATACTGTTGGTTACCATCCCCTCAACCTTTATCTTCATCTTTGAAGTGGTCCGCAGTTTTCTTAAGCAACTGATAATAATTAAGTAAACGGGTTTTACGAATATACTATCCGTTGTAGCTGCTTTGCTTTTTGGATACTGTTGGTTACCATCCCCTCAACCTTTATCTTCGACCACTTTACCAAAGTTTGGTTACCATCCTTTCAACGTTTATCTTTGACCACTTTACCAGAGTTTGGTTACCACCCCATCAACGTTTATCTTCAACCGCTTTCACAGTCCGAATACTATCTCATTAATGTTTACCTTCATCCACTCATATAATCTGTTCAACGCATGCACACCCGCTGTTTCATTCCTGTCCGCATTATGATGAACATGCGCCCCACGACTAACCAAGAGTGTTGGAATCTTATCCTAAGACAAACAATGCAAGCGCATCCTCACTCACAACATAAACATATATATATATATATATATATATATATGCGGAACAACGATCCCACAGCCCGACGCTCGTCAGTTCACACAGCGCCTTGACCAGACCATTTCAAGCCGACGCACGACTCACTGTGCAGGAAAAGTCTGGGCTCGAAATCGTTTTGGATTAAACGACAAAGAACAGGCCAGATTTCAACACACTCGGTCAAGACCCCATTCAATTCAACGGCGTCCCACAAACATTGGCTGCATCGGCTACAACTTATCAAACGAAGAACTCGATAAGTCTCATACTTCTTTTGTCCATTATTCAGTTGTAATTTGTGTCTCTGGTAGCCACTATACATAACTGTTTATTGTTAGTGCTATTTCACCTTCTGATATTACTTCGAGTAAAAAGACAATAGCACCTACAATTTGGTGAGCCCGACAAAAGTTGTAGCCCATACCTCAGTACTATCATGTCAGACACTGCAACACCAGTTATTCCCAGCATCAATGCCACCTCCATTCATCTCCCGCCCTTCTGGCACCACGATCCTCGAATTTGGTTTACGCAGGTGCAGGCGCAGTTCGCTCTGCGAAGTATCACACAAGAACACACTATGTACTACCATGTGTTAGCTATACTTCCAGCAGAAGTAGCGGCAGATCTGCGAGACATCCTGATGGCCCCAGACAGCGTCAAACCTTACACCCAATTACGCGATACAATCATCGCCCGCACTACGCTTTCGGAAAGTAAAAGACTCGAACAGCTGATTAGTGGCGAGACCCTAGATGGCTGTACACCATCTCAATTCTTACGTCGTCTCTATAGTATACTGGGCGATAAAAAGATTGACGACGCACTACTTCGCCAACTTTTTCTCAAAAGACTACCGACACATGTGCAATCTATTCTCGCAGCTAATACTGACAGTGTGCAATTGTCCCAGCTTGCGAGTATAGCGGATAAAATACTAGAGATTCAACCTGGTTATGCCAGCATAAACGCAGTTGATGACTCTCCTAAACTCGCGCTCATGAACTCGCAAATTGAAAACTTGTCACGCCAAGTTGCCCTTTTATCCGTTAAGCGTGCCCCTCGTAAAAGTTTTCACAATCATGCACGCAAACGATCACGTTCACGCTCGTCGCATTCTCACCATACATCCAATTACTGTTGGTATCATGAAACATTTGGTCGCTCTGCACGCAAATGCACACCACCTTGCTCGTTTCGTACTACTATTAGCACATCAACTTCACAGATGGGAAACGAGTAGGCCGGACAGCAAAGGCGAGTGCCGTCCAAGGCCCCAATTACATCACTCGCCGTCTCCTTCTATTGGATAAGAATTCAGGTCTCCGATTTCTCATCGACACTGGCGCCGATATTAGCGTAATTCCAGTCACCCTCTTGAATACGAATGTTGCACCCTCCCCACTTACCCTGACAGCGGCAAACGGGTCAACAATTAAAACATACGGGCAACATTCACTGAACCTCAACCTCGGTCTTCGCAGAGAATTTCAGTGGATTTTCATCGTCGCTGATATACAACAACCGATATTAGGCGCAGATTTCCTTACTCACTTCAATCTATGCGTAGATCTCAAACAACAGCGTTTACTAGACTCTGAAACAAACCTCTCCGTTAGAGGACATACTACGACAAACCCATCTATATACCCACTGACTTTTCGTACAAACGGTAAATCACCATATCAGGAATTGCTTCGTGAATTTCCCGATATTCAGAAGCCTAGTTTTCACGAACCACACCCGAAGCACAGGGTTTTACATCACATCAACACCAAGGGTTCTCCAGTCTTTTCACGCCCACGTCGCTTACACCCGGACAAACTGAAAATTGCTAAAGAGGAATTTCAGCATATGCTTCAGTTAGGAATCATTCAGCCGTCCAAAAGCGTATGGGCTTCGCCGCTCCACATGGTTCCAAAGAAAACCACAACAGATTGGAGACCTTGCGGCGATTATCGAGCGCTAAACAATATAACGACCCCTGATCGTTACCCCATCCCGCACATCCACGATTTTGCATCTAATCTAGCGGGCTGCACAGTATTTTCCCACATTGATATCCTTCGCGCCTATCACCATATTCCAATTCACCCCGATGACATTCATAAAACTGCAATCACTACACCTTTTGGTTTGTTCGAATTTTTACGCATGCCATTTGGTTTGAGAAATGCAGCTCAGACATTTCAGCGTTTCATTGACCAAGTACTGTATGGTTTGCCTTTCGTTTTCGCTTATTTGGATGACATTCTAGTCGCTAGTAATAGCACGGAACAACATCTAGAGCATTTACGTCTTTTATTCGCTAGACTGCATAACCATGGTGTTGTTATCAACACACAAAAATGTATTTTTGGTGTATCTGCATTAAATTTTCTGGGTCATACGGTTAGTCAGGATGGTATAGCGCCTACTGACGATAAGCTCGATGCTATCCGAAGTTTTCCCCTACCTACCTCATTTAAGCAACTTAAACGTTTTTTGGGTATGATTAATTTTTACAGACGATTTGTTCCCAAAGCTGCGTCATTGTTAGCACCACTCAGTGACCTTTTATCCGGAAACCCAAAGACGTTTCATTTGACTAATTCTGCTATTTCCGCTTTTGAACAAGTCAAAGCTTCCCTTGCGAACTCTCTCAAGTTATTTTATTTGCAACCCAACTCTGTCTTATCACTTAATGTGGACGCCTCCAACGGCGCCGTAGGTGCTGTTTTACAACAAATGATTGACAGTACTTATCAGCCCCTTGCATTCTTTTCTCATAAACTATCACCCACCGAATCACGTTACAGTACATTTGGTAGAGAATTGTTAGCCATTTACCTATCGATACGCCATTTCCGTCATTTGCTGGAAGGACGCGAATTTTGCATCTATACCGATCACAAGCCGTTAACGTCAGCCTTACTAGCCAAGCCTGATAAATATTCACCGCGCGAAATACGTCATCTTGACTATATTTCTCAATTCACCAGTGACATTCGTCATATATCAGGACATCTCAACATCGTAGCTGACACCTTATCTCGTCCGGAAATTGACTCACTCCACTCGGCACCCACGATCGATCTGCAGCGAATGGCGCAACTACAAAAGGACGAGCCCGTCAAACTGCCATCACCCGACAAATCATCACTACAGATTAGACCGGTGCCACTACAAACAGCACCAGGCACCATAGACTGTGATTTCTCCACATCCGTTCCAAGACCCCTGGTTCCATGTGCAATGCGTCGCCTCGTTTTCGACGCGCTACATAATGTAGCACATCCAGGAATACGTGCAACGAACAAACTCATTTCACAACGTTTCGTGTGGCCGAATATGAACAAAGATATCCGTTCATGGGCAAAAACTTGTCTGTCTTGTCAACGTTCGAAAGTCATTCGGCATACTCACGCACCCGTTGGCACCTTCTCCCAACCAGACTGCCGATTCGATCACGTTCACTTGGACATTGTTGGTCCACTTCCCCCATCCAACGGCAGTTCGTATCTTCTAACTTGCGTCGATAGGTTTACAAGATGGCCTGAAGCCATTCCAATTCCGGATATCTCGGCGACGACGATTGCTCGTGCTTTTGTCACCAGATGGATCTCTATATTCGGTATTCCTTCTTGCATTACAACAGACCGTGGTTCGCAGTTCGAATCTCAACTCTTCCGGCAATTAACTGAACTTCTAGGTTGCAAACGCATTCGCACCACCGCGTACCATCCACAAGCTAATGGCTTAGTTGAACGTTTTCATAGACACTTAAAAACGGCCATCAAAGCTCATCAAGAACCTAACAACTGGAGTGACCTGGTCCCCCTTATTCTGCTTCATTTACGCTCCATGTTTCGTTCCACACTACAATGTACACCAGCCGAGTTAGTTTTCGGTACATCATTACGAATCCCAGGACAGTTTTTCTCTTCAGAAACTAGTTTTCCCTGTGATTCACTAACATACGTCACCCAACTGAAAACGCACATGTCGCGTCTACGCTATCATCCTCCACCAATGGTTAACAAACCGTCCTATGTTTCTCCTGACCTCTCCACTTGTGCGCACGTTTTCATCCGCTGCGACCGCGTCAAACACCCATTACAACCTCCTTATGAGGGTCCATTCGCAGTTATAAGTCGTTACCCCAGATACTTCACCATTCAGTTACGTGATAAGACTGATACAGTTAGTATTGATCGTCTGAAACCAGCTTATACTGATTGTATTGATTCACCCTCAAAAGTGACAGAATTACCGAACTGCAAGTTTAAGTCCGACTCAACGGAATCAACAACGACCTCGTCGTCAGCCCAATTCACTCCGACTACTAGCACACGCATCACACGTTCTGGCAGACACGTTCACTGGCCAGACCGTTTCGTCCCAACTTAACAATCTCTGCATTGTATTGAAAACTATTTTTCACTTTTACCAGCGGGAGAGTATTTGTTGGTTACCATCCCCTCAACGTTTATCTTCGACCACTTTACCAGAGTTTGGTTACCATCCTGTCAACGTTTATCTTTGACCACTTTACCAGAGTTTGGTTACCACCCCATCAACGTTTATCTTCAACCGCTTTCACAGTCCGATTACTATCTCATTAATGTTTACCTTCATCCACTCATATAATCTGTTCAACGCATGCACACCCGCTGTTTCATTCCTGTCCGCATTATGACGAACATGCGCCCCACGACTAACCAAGAGTGTTGGAATCTTATCCTAAGACAAACAATGCAAGCGCATCCTCACTCACAACATAAACATATATATATATATATATATATATATATGCGGAACAACGATCGCACAGCCCGACGCTTGTCAGTTCACACAGCGCCTTGACCAGACCATTTCAAGCCGACGCACGACTCACTGTGCAGGAAAAGTCTGGGCTCGAAATCGTTTTGGATTAAACGACAAAGAACAGGCCAGATTTCAACACACTCGGTCAAGACCCCATTCAATTCAACGGCGTCCCACAAACATTGGCTGCATCGGCTACAACTTATCAAACGAAGAACTCGATAAGTCTCATACTTCTTTTGTCCATTATTCAGTTGTAATTTGTGTCTCTGGTAGCCACTATACATAACTGTTTATTGTTAGTGCTATTTCACCTTCTGATATTACTTCGAGTAAAAAAGACAATAGCACCTACAATACCCAGTACGTAGGAACACGGTCTGGAGCTGAACCGCTTTTTTGTTTGCGACCTAGTTGCATCACAATGTTGATCACTTAATTTCTTGAATTTGTAGTGGATTTTTTGGAGGCCCTTTGAAAATTCTTCAAAGTAGTCAAAATAATT